GCACATCCGACTTCAGCTCAGGTCGTGATGTCGCGGTTTGTGAGTTCGAGCCCTGTGCTGACATCTCGGAGCCTGGAGCCTGCTTTGCAGTCTGTGCCTCCCTCTCTGTCTGCCTCTCCCCCGCTCAGGCTCTGTCTCTCTCAAAAATAAACATTAAAAAAAAAATAAAAAAAGATGAACTAATACAGTTTAAAAATCCATTAATCCTATTTCCCAGACTGTAGACACCTTATAGTTTTCTGTGTGCTCTAAGAAGACCAGCAGTGTGGGAGGGACAGTGCTGGTGCAGAGGTGCTTAGGAAAAGGGGAGTCACAGCTGCCACAAACTGCAGCCATCCAGCCAGAGACAGGAGCAAGCACATTTCATGAACTCTTTTGTCGATATCACTATATCTGGGTCTGAGCTGGTTTCTAGGGAGATGAGAAAAGAAAGAATCCCAGCGTGGAACATGTGGGTAAGTGCTGCAGGAGGGGAGGAATATCACCCTGTCCTAGTGACTCTGAGGAAAAGAAAACCCCGAGAAGAGAGTTAATCTTTAAAAAAATTTTTTAAATGTTTATTTGTGTGACAGAGAGAGAGCAAGACAGAGTGTGAGCAGGAGAGGGCACAGAGAGGAGGCAGAGAATTGGAAGCAGGCTCCAGGCTGTGAGCTGTCAGCACAGAGTCCCAGGCAGGGCTCGAACTCACAAACCATGAGATTATGACCTGAGCCGAAGTCAGAGGCTCAACCCACTAAGCCACCCAGGCGCCCCTGGAGAGCTAATCTAAGTAGAAGAAATTTTCAGGAATTGCTGGGGTTCCCAGAAGAATACATAGATTAAAAAAAGTCGAAACTGTCACTTCCTCTTTAACAATTAGAAAAGGAAAACACCTAATCAATTCAAGAAGACAGACAAAAAAGTTTGTGATAAAATTCAATACTCATTCCTGATAAAAACTTTTAGCAAACCAGCAATAAAAAGGTACTTCCTTGACCCGATTATGGGTATCCAATACAGCAAACTTCTTTCTCAACAGTGAAATGTGAGAAGCCTTCCCTTTAAAATCAGGACAAGGCAAGGCCGCCCAGTCACTGCTTCTATTCATCACTGGACCAGGAGTTCTAGCTAGCAAGTGACAAAGGAACGAGCAAAGAGGTGAGGTCTAACACCGTAGCCACAAACCGCCAGAAAACCCACATCTTCAAAAGATACCCTTTGGAAAGATAGAAAATACAGGTCTACATCTTTACCCATTTGAGAAGAAATCTAACAAAAGGTAGGGATATATGACAAGCAAGAGGAAAGTTCTAAAACTTTTATTAAATTCATTAAAGACCTAAATAAGTTGGTAATTCATTGTTACAGTGTGTGTATATGTATATGTGCGTACATAGAAGCATATAATGTGTATGTTTGAAACACACACACACACACACACACACATTATACACATGCACAGAACAAGGTCCAAGTAATAAAAACACAAAGATGTTCATATGTGTCACCTCCAGGCAGTGGGGTGACTGATGCTTATTTCTGAATATCTTAGTGTATTTCTAACATTTTTTACCTTAAGCCATATATTATATTGTTTACGTGTTTAAAAAATTTACAGTAAGCGAGTCATACTATAAGTATCCTTTAGAAAATTCATTAACACAATTTGTGTCTTTTTTTTTTTTTTAAAGTAAGCTCTACGCCTTATATGGGGCTTGAACTCATGATTAAGAGTGGCAAGTTCTACTACTGTGCCAGGCAGGTGCCCCCAGGTCTTGTTTCTGAGAGCAGGTATGTTCTAATGTTTTTTTAAAAAAATTTTTTTAACGTGTATTTACTTTTAAGAGACAGACACACAGACAGAACCTGCACAGGGGAGGGGCAGGGAGAGAGGGAGACACAGAACTGGCAGGCTCCGCTCCCAGGCCAACAAGCCCAGAGCCTGAGCGGGGTCAACCAGAGCTGCTGTGAGCTCTCATGACCTGAACCTGCTGGATGCTCAACCACTTGAGCCACCCAGGCTGCCTCTAATGTTCTGCAGTGGTAATTTCATTGTGAATCCACATCACCTATATAAATAAAATCAGAAGAACTCCTCCCCCCACCTTTTTTTTTTTTTTTTTAAGTTGAATGTCTTTACCTTCCTCGTCAAGGCTGCTGAAACTCTGCCCCTCCGTCAGCAGATCCCGCTTCTCATCCTTCCATTCCTGGCTAATTGAGGACACGATCTCTTGGGAGGTTGCCTTCAGGGCAGCAATGGAGTTGCACCGTTTTTTAGAAGGTGACGCCTTCAAAGCTAGACAGGAAGGACAAAGGAGTGACAAAGAAAGATACTTACTGTAAAAGCACATTAATATTTTTAATTAAGATTTTATTTATTAACTTATTAGTCATTATTTGAGGAGAAATAAAACAAGAAACTTTGTTTTACATACACGAGGAAAGGGAGACAAAACTGTTGGCGTTTGGGCAATTTTTTTTGTCCACAGTGACTTGACTTCGATTACAAGGGCCTAGAGTCCATGCAAACTGGAATGCATCTCCAGATTTTGAAGTTAAGTCTCACCCAAGGTGAAATTCAAATGTTTTGAGGCTAAAGGAGAATTTCTCTGCCTCCAAGCAATGTTTTCCTAGTGCTAGGAGGAGGTCGGGTGGGTTGGTAAACGCAGATGGTAAAGCAAGGAGAATTCTCATGACCCTGGTTTTATTAACTTGGGACTAGGAATTTCTAAACATGCCAATGTTTAATCGTATACTCAGGAAGCCTAATTTAGTCAAGTTACTTCGGGTTGCTTTTTTCTTTTAAGTGACTTTCCACTGAAACTTCCTGCCCTCTGGGTCTTTTTGAGGTCACGGCTATATCAGATGTACCGTTCACTCCTGACCTTTGTCCAAACAGCATTCTACAACTTCAGAAGTGTGTTGGGAACCCGAACCAGGGCAAATGGACTTCGCTATCAATCTGCTCGCTGAAGGCTGTGCCTGTACTTCGGCTACGTCACTGGGAGCTGTTTTAGCCGCAGCCACACCATCCCCATCTCTGTTCAGTCCTCGTTCCAATAATTCTTGGCTTAATGCAGTTATTAAAGAATTTCCTTGGAGAGGAGGAGAGAAGTTGCGGCTTGTTTATGCCTTGCCTGAACTGGTTTTTGGCAGTGTCTCTCCACCTGTGGAGGTTTGCATGCAGGGGTGACCTGACAGCTGATGCATTAGAATAATTGCATCTGGCTTTGGGAAGCTCAGAGCTTAGATTGCAACGCTCATCTGGGGCCTGCCCGTAGGCAGCTTGCAAGAACTTAATTGGACAAGGACTTTGGGACACACAAATGGGGAAGAATGGTGGGCATTCTCTCCAGTTCTGGAGAAGGAAAAGTCTGTGTGTCTTGTGAGCAGTCTTATAGCCATAATCATATGATCATCGTAATAAATAACTTTTGTAGAGGGTTTTAGGGTTTGGAGACTAACATCACACTCCGTATCTCAAATTACCCACGGGGTTGTCTGAGGGAGGCAACGGTCGTCTGAGCCCTTTTATAGGTCCAGAAAATGAGAGCTGAAAAGCTGTGACCTGCCCAAGGTCACAGAATGAGAAAGCAGGAAACCCAAGGTGTCTTTCTTTTCTCTGAAGTTGTCTTAAGCAGTATTCATTTCTTCGCTCGCTAGCATTCTATTTCCTGGCTGACAGGAGGGGGAGAAGAGATAAAACCAGACCTGGGTTTTCTTGGAGGGGAGGAAATTTTGAATGTTTAAAAACTGATCGAAATGGATTTTATTGGAAAATAAGTGGCCCAAATAAGTCACATTCACCTTGACTCCTCATGCTATGAAGACAATGGCGACACCTGCTATCTAGGTGTGAAGGGATTACGCGCACTGGCTTCTGCTTTAAGGTTCTGTCTGCCGACTTTTATGAACCTTCACCTCTTGTCTTCCAACATAATATTTTAAAACTTTTAAGTCGGAGGATCTCAAATGTGGTTCAGGGAGTACTAGAGGCTCCTGAGACCCTCTTAGAAGGTCTTCGATGTTAAAATTATTTTCAGGGGCTCCTGGCTGGCTCAGTCAGTGGAGCTTGTGACTCATGATCTTGGGGTCATGAGTTGGAGCCCCACAGGGCTGTAGAGATTACTTAAAAAAAAACAAATAAAATAACTAAAAAAACCTATTTTAATAACAATATTAAGGCGTAATTAGCCTTTCTCACTCTCTAATGAGTTTTCTAGATGCCACAGGACCTCTAGCCACAGACTGAATTCAGAAGCTGATAGGAGATTCTAGATGTCTCCTATTAAGCCAGAATTGGGGCTTTGAAAAAATGTAAAATAATACCACTTCTCTCAGTCAATTATTTGTTTTAGAAAATATTGCTTTTCCTAATTATTACTATTATTATTATTTTAATGTTTGTTTATTTTTGAGAGAGAAAGAGCATGAGCCGACAGGAGAGCCCAATGTGGGGCTCGAACCCATGAACTGTGAGATCATGACCTGAGCCGAAGTTGGATGCTGAACCAACTAAGCCACCAGGCATCCCTTCATGATTATTTTTTATGTGAAATTTTTTTACCTTTTTGTTGAAACTGACAATTTTTATATGCAATTTTTGAAATTGTTACTTTGTAAGAATTAATGAACATTTAAAACTTTCCTTAACTTTAAATTCTAATATGCTAAATAGTGATATACATAGCCCCACACGTGTAAATGCTTTTTCAGGGTCTTTAATCATTGAAAAGAGAGTAAAGTGGCCCTGAGGCCCAAAGATTTGAGCACTGCTTGTGGTGAGAGTGGATATACTTGTCTTGCCGCTGATGTCAGAGGAAAAGCTCTCAGGTTTTCGCCATTGGGTATGATGTTAGCTGTGGGTTTTTCATGTATGGCCTTTGTGATGTTGATGTATGTTCCCTCTGAACCTACTGTGTGGAAAGTTTTTACCATGAATGAATACTGTACTTTGTCCAGTGCGTTTTCTGCACCTGTTGAGATGATCGTTTGGTTTTCATCCTTTTTCTTGTTAATGTATCAGATTTTTATATATTCCATTAGCATTTGTTGTGAATTTACATATGCAAACCAATGAACTATATATACGTGTGTGTGTCTGTGTGAATAAATCTATGTCTATAAGGACTAAACGTACCTTTAGAATATGACTTTTATTGTACATATTATTCCATTAGATTGTACCATAATATATTTAATACATCATATAATCTGTATAATACAGGACTGGAAAGTTAGGCAGTTTCTAATTTTTTCCACAATAAGACTCTAATGATTATGGCATCAGTAAATTACTGGTAATTACATAATTATTAAGTGATCACAGCTTTTGGGAGATAAATTAGTCCAAACCTTCCACTAAAAATCTTGGAAGGATACACACCAGAAATTCAGCAAGTAAGTGCTAAAAGTAAAAAAAAAAAATTCTAAGAACCTTACCTTGAATTTTCTTGAAAACTCTGGAATTCATAAACTTTAGAAATCTGTCAGCATAAAAGCTTGGTCGATGAACTGAAACAGTATCCTGAAAATACAAATCAGTTATCACAGGTTTATCTTGCAGTTCATTTTAAGCTAGAAGAACCATCTATTCAATCGGTTCTCTGTTAAGCCCATGTCCTTAACCAGAAGGTGTGGATGTTGAGAGCCAGAGAAGAGCAAAGTCTTGTGACCTGTGGTGCCCAAGAGTCAGGCTGCAGAAGGAGGCAAAGACAATCTGAGCAAAAACTGTGGATGGAGCTGGGGAGAGCTAGCAAAAAGATGCTGCTTTATAAAGCAAAACATGTAATAAGTTGATTCTGATTGCACTGTGTGCCATGTGGGGCTTTTAGATTCTTTGTTTCACACGTAGGCAGCTGAAATGAAGGATAACGCTTTGAGTTGGGGACAAAAACTGGGGACATAGACGCCCAGGTGGCTCAGTCGGTTAAATGCCAGACTTCGGCTCAGGTCATGATCTCACGGTTTGTGGGTGTGGGCCCTGCGTCGGGCTCTGTGCTGACAGCTCAGAGCCTGGAGCCTGCTTGAGATTCTGTGTCCTCTCTCTCTGCCCCTCCCCTGCTCGTGCTCTGTCTCTCTTGCTCAAAAATAAATAAACATTAAAAAAAAATTAAAAAAAAAAACTGGGGACACAAATAAGCAAAACAACCCTAATGGAAAAATGGCATCTAGGTCAAAAAGGAACACTGGTTTTATCTCCTAGTAAAATGGTGCAAAACACAGGGAAGATTCCGAGGGGACACGGCTGACTGATGACCTCCGTTATGCTGAATTATCCACTAATTAGATAGAATTGAATTGAATTAAACTGTTAACTCAATTCTCTCATGCTTGGCAGGAGTCTTCAGGACTGAAGGGGCGTTTTATTACAAATCCAGGAAAGGAGATGGATGAAGAAGCGAATTCTGTATGTTTATTCAGTGATCATTTACCTGCTCTCCAAGATATACATTTCCAGAAACAAATTAATGTTCCATTTTGATTCTAAGTTTGTGGGTTCCAATAAAAAAAAGTTCTAAAAGTTTAAATTTAGATGGTATAAAGTGCCCGCTCCAGGTGTGGAGGGAAAAACCCACACTGGACCAGGGGTCTGGAGACCTGGTTCTGGTGTTAGTTCTAACTTTAAGAAGCTGTGCGATCCAGGAGAAAGGCAGTGTTTTGGTGCCTCCGTTTTTTTTTTTTTCATCTGTGAAATAGGGAATTACATGAGGCATAAGGTAATTCTGTAATTAGCATGTAATGAAGGACAGCACAGAGGAACCTTCTTTGGCCAAGGTCCCCTAGACAGTGATGTTGCAGACGTGGTGGGAATTTCCTACTGGTTTGACGTGCGCTCCCCCAGTACTCTGGCAGCTCCTGTCTGAAGTGGACACATATTCACAACAAGTGCCTAAGATATTGAGGAATATCTTATGGTGCAAGATGATTAAGACCCAGACCTTCTCTTTCCAAGAGAAGCTGGGCTGTGGTTCTCTTTTGGTATGAAGGAACATTGTTTAAATAAGAGGCACGTTTGCAAATAAACAAAAGTGAGTCTTATTTACCGCTTATAATTCCACAAGTAAACAATCAACACAGAGAGTCTCTTAAAAAAAAGAAACCGCCACCAAAACACGGAAGATGTATTTTGACTAGACAAAGGTAGGGGCCTCTTAGATGCATCTGACCAGTTGAGTACTAGGCCATTCAGATCAGAAGTCTTAGTCTGGTGACAGGGAATTAAAGTTGTCTTAGGAAACAGAGAGGGAAGGGTGTTTGTGGTTTTCCTTTCCATGTTTAAAGCATTTTGCAGTCTTGGGACACCTGGGTGGCTCGGATGAACATCTGACTTTGGCTCAGGTCATGACCTCGCAGTTCGTGAGCTTGAGCCCCACATCAGTCGGGCTCCCTACTGTCAGCCCAGAACCCACTTAAGATCCTCTGTCCCCCTCTGTCTGCCCCTCCCCTGCTTGTGCTCTCCCCAAAATTAACAAATATTTTAAAAAAGGCATTAAACAGTCTCTATTTTTGTCAGCTGGAAGGGAGAATATCAGTCCACCATCTTGGCCTTTAAACAAAAGGAATCTTCGATTTAAGTAGTAAGCCTACATTTACTTCTCAGAAGCAAACTTGTGAACCTGTTGTTTACAAGTGCATTCTGACAAAGCCCATTCCTCAGCCTGGGGACAAAAGGCAGATCTTTCATGCAGAGAGGTTATTACCAGCCTTCCACAGAAGTGAGGAAGTCAGTGTTCTTTTCCAATAAAGGAAGAGAATAATCTCTATAATTTATCTTCTTTCAAAGGAAAGCAGCTGCGAACATCTTTAAAAAATGTGCGAGCAAACCTCTGCCCAATATATTCCGTGGTCAGGTTATTAACTGAGGGAGGCCGAGGCCAGTAAATGTTCCATCAGTAGCAAAAACTTCGCATGTAACACGTAGATAGGAACGTGTCTGTGTACTGAGTGGGGAGGAGGGAGACGGGGAGGGAGAATACCTCTGGATAATTGATTGTTTTCTTTTCTTTTTTTTTTTTTGATTGCTATGCAACTCTGGGTCTAAGAGACCCTCACACCGTTCAGTCTTAGTCACGTACATCCGTAACAACTTGTATGTAAGTTTTCACTTCTTCCGTCTTTATTGTGCTCGGCATTGTGTTGAACATGACAGTGTATTATTTTATTTAATCCCTGCATTAGCCCTATGAGGGCTATTACTATATCTCTGGTACAGATGGGAAACCAGGCCCAGGGAGGCCAAATAAACAAGCAATGTGACTGGATCACACGGTGAGTAAAGTGGTGAATGCAGGGTTCACATCCAGGGCTGTGTCCCACCAAAGTCAGGCTCAGATCGCTCCACAGCTTACTCCGGTGAGAACGGAGAATCTCATTTCAATGGTCCTCCTGTTCTTCCCCGGGGCTCTGCAATCAGTCTCCCTCCCCCTTTTCCCCAGCATCCTCTTGTAAGAGGGTCCTGGAGATTTGACATAGAAACAACACATCCTTTTAGGGCACTTGGGCGGCTCAGTCGGTTAGGCAACCGACTTCGGCTCGGGTCATGATAGCAAGGCTCATGGGTTCGAGCCCCGCATCCGGGCTCTGTGCTGACAGCTTACAGCCTGAGCCTGCTTCGGATTCTGTGTCTCGCTTTCTCTCTGCCCCTCCCCCGCTGACCCTCAGTCTCTCTCTTTCGGAAATAAATGTTAAAAAAACAACAAAAAAGAGAACGTCGTTTGGTCTGCTGATGTGACTTCCTACATGCACGCTGAAGTCTGAGAAATCAGAGAAATATATAGTTTAACAAGGAACATGGTAAGTCACTTACCCCATCATAAACAAGCGCTTTCCAGGAATGTTCTAACTTCTTCATTAACCTAAATGTAAACAGACAGAAACAAAAATGAGAATATAAAATCACTCCCATCTGGTGGATTTTCAAAGCCTTTTGTTGATTTACTTTGAAATAAATAAAGGCTTCTTCCCCAAATTACTTACCTATATGATTGCAGAATGTCAATAATGCCCATAAACAAAAGTAGTCTTTCTCCCTTATGGCTTTTAGCTGGAATGCCTCCCATTCTGTTGATAGGGCAAAAGAGAGAAGCTTTTACAATATATTAGGAAGTGGACATAATTTCTAAAATAGACTAAATAAAAATGGACAACTTTAAGAATTCTGGACTTGCTTTCCTTTTCTCTTTTCTTTCTTTCTTTCCTTCCCCCCCCGCCCCTGGGTAGAGTCTTCCTGGGAATCCAGAATGATGTACTTCCCACACAGGAGAGTGAAACCAGAGCTGTCACCTCTGGACAGCTGGATGAGAAGAATCCAAACAAAAAATTCTTCCTATTTTAAAACTGCAAGCACGAATTTTCAAAGTATACTGAAATACTGCTTTTTATTTCATTTTTTAAAATGTTTATTTGTTTTTGAGAGGGAGAGAGAGAGAGCGCACAAGGGAGGGGCAGGGAGGGAGGGAGGCACAGAACCCGAAGCAGGCTCTAGGCTCTGAGCTGTCAGCACAGAGCCCAATGCAGGGCTCACACTCATGAACTGTGAGATCATGACCTGAGCCAAAGTCAGACGCTTAACCAACTGAGCCACCGAGGTGCCCCAAAACACTACGTTTTAAAAATGCAACACTTTTATATATCTACTGTGAGATTTTAAATATACAAAAGAACCCATTCCAAGGATGCCAAGGACCTCTATCAGCATTTGGTACACCTTTCCAGGGGAAACGTATGTGTATATGTCTTTATTAGCCCGCAAAAGCATTTAAGTTAGCATATTTTACAACTTGCATTTTTCATTTGCTAAACGATGTACATTTCCTCATATTCAATGCTAATGCGTTTTTTAATGGCTGTGTAGTTCACTATACTGATAGAGAGTAATTGGTTTAATGGATTGGACATTGAGACAGATTCATAAGAGAGGAATTTTTAAAGCTTTAATACGTATGGAGCTCCTTTCTAAAGGTGAAATATACCTGTGATTTAGTCATTGTTGGAGACTCCCAGAAGGCAGCCCCTTATGGCCTAGGAAAATGATGCCATTCATTCAGTCTCCTGCACAGCTGGTAAACACGCATGACATAGACAACCATTTCAATCGCTTTCTTTGGTTGTAGCTGTTTCTGTTAGTCAAGAAGCACTTTCTCTGTACCAACTAATCCTGCAGTTACCATCACATCTGGCTGAGGCCAAGAGACTACATCTGCCAGGGTACAGGACCTAAAACAGCAGAATCTTTTTATGTGGATAAGCGGCTCTGAATTGTGAACGTAATTCCTGTCACATGTTTGCTTCAACGCATGTTTATTCAAATTCATAGTCTCCTGTCGCGGTGCCTGTTTTGAATATGCAGTAAATAGGGGCAGAAACATTTTCAGCCGCTGTTCAAAAATGGGCCATCTGAAACACTGAAACCGCGTGCGTCAGAGAATGATAATGACCCAAAGAGCTGCTACTCCTCTAGTCATCCGCAGAGGAAGAGAAACGAAGGCTGCTTGATCCATTTTAGCACCAGATAGGAAGCCATTCTCCAAGAGCCACCAGGAAAGGAACATGACTGCATTTAATTACCTCACCGATGTGGGCTCCCCCGGCCAGGAGGGTGGGCAGGTAGGTGACCACACTTACGTGTCCGGGTTCTCTGTGATGATCCCGTCTCCTGGTTTCCCTGGACCCTGGATGGATTCCATTGCTGTCGAATAGAGGACCTTCTGCATCCCCGACCGTTTAGCATCAGGCACGTTTTGTGAGTTCTCCTCTTCTTTCTCTTTGAGGGAATGGTCCAAGATGTGGATTCCCAGCAAAAGGCTATAGTCCATGATTTTGAAGCTTTCCAGCACCTGAGTAAGAAAAAGAACCAGCAGGCCAGTCAACTGAAATGGCTCCTAAGTCTCATCTGGGGAGGATCAGAGAGCTCTAGATAAGCAGACACACGGCTGACAGAGGAAGAATCAAAATAAAAACATTTGAGGTTGTTATTATGTCCTGTTTAGTAAGGATTATCACAATGGCTCCAAGACGATATTTTTTATGCAAATTGAAAAGCAGCACATCTTTTCCTAACCCTTCATAAATGTTTCACCCATAACATTTATTGAAAACTTCCCACGGGCCAGGTTCTAAGTAGGTCACCTTGGATTCAATCCTCACACCTCTTTGAGTTAGGTACTATTATAGTCTCTCTCTTACAGATGAACAAATCGAGACAGAGAGAGAGAGAGAGAGGAAGTGATTTGCTCAATATCACACACTTCATGAGTGGTGCTGTCGGGATAGGAACCCGGGTAGGCAACTCCAGCAGCCACACTCTTCAGCACGAGGAGCACAGACACCAACAGCTACTGGTCTCTAGAAGCCTGCAACCTCCTCAGCGTGAAGACTCAGCCGGAATGTGTTTTTGTTTGGATTCTGTTCTCCCAATCTTGACCTTGCTGGAGTTCGGTGGTCTCCTTTGGAAAGCGTGTCTTTCAAAGCTGCCATTCGGTTCCCTGTACAACTGTTTTTAAACTTTTTAAAACGTGTTTATTGATTTTTGAGAGAGAAAGAGAGAGCGAGCGAGCACGAGTGGGGGAGGAGCAGAGAGACAGAGAGAGAGACACCCACATAAAATCCGAAGCAGGCTCCAGGCTCCGAGCTGTCAGCACAGAGCCTGACGCGGGGCTCGAACCCACGGACAGCGAGGTCATGACCCGAGCCGAAGTTGGACGCTCAACTGACTGAGCCACCCAGGTGCGCCCCCTGTACTAGTGTTTTTAAAAATTAGGATCTCAAAAGCACCTGGGTGGCTTAGTTGGTTAAGCGCCAGACTCTCGATCTGGCCCAGGTCATGATCTCATGCTTGTGGGATTGAGCCCCGCATCAGGCTCTGTGCTGACAGCATGGAGCCTGCTTGGGTTTCTCCCTCTCCCTTTCACTCTCAAAATAAAGAAATAAACATTTAAAAAAAATTAAAAATAAATAAAAATAAAAGTAGCAGAGGCCACCAGACAAAGGAGGTAGAGGTGTTCTGACAGGAAAAGGGCGGGAGGTAAGGTCAAGGGGAGAAGCAGTCAACACGGCTTCCCAGCGTAGGTGGGGCTCTGACAGTCAGGATGCTTCCTTAGTGGAGGAAAAGTATTCAGGAGCGCATGAAAACGGGGCATTTTCCTCCATGATAAAGTTCTTCTTGTGGTTTGTACATGAATCTCCTGTACGGCAGGGTTTTAAATGCCTGGCGTTTCTCACACAAAGCTATTTAGGAAATCAAAAAAGCCCAGAAATTAAGCCAAGCCTGCATGGCAGAACAACATGATAATCTGTCACTGTGCCCTAGTTAGGAACCGCCTCTGAGGATCAGAGTCTATAGTCATTGTTTAACCAGAGACAGAATACGCAGCATTTCTAAGGCTTCTCATTCCCCCTCGGCCCAGCTGCTTTTTGATCAGACATTTATGATACAGGGAACAGGGGTCGAGCCCGAGGACTCAAACACCTGTGGCTGCCACTTCATGAATACCATCTGTCACGGGATTTGTGAACTATGGCACAGGAGGCCTTCCAGAAATACGGTTATCCCTGGGTCTCGTACATCTTTGCCATCAATGAGGAAGAATGAAAGGGGCTGTACGTGAGCATCGATTATTCAGGGTATCATTTGTTCATCTTACGGTTTACTAAATTAAGAAAGGAGGCAGGCAAGGGGCGCCTGGGTGGCTCGGTCGGTTAAGCATCTGACTTTGGCTCAGGTCATCATCTCACGGTTCGTGGGTTCGAGCCCCGCATCAGGCTCGGTGCTGACCGCTCGGAGCCCGGAGCCTGCTCCGGATTCTGTGTCTCCCTCTCTCGCTGCCCCTCCCCCACTTGCGCCCTGTCTCCCTCTGTCTCAAAAATAGATAAACACTTAAAACAAAAATTAAAAATACATAAATAAAAAAGGAAGGAGGCAGGCAAGAGCTGAGAGGAAAACCTTACTATTTTAGACGTTTCGGCCATGGAACCTTATAACCCACGAGATCAGAGAGTGGCCTGACAGCAGTGTGGACCGAGCCTCCCTACCCTAAGAAGAAATGGAGGCCAAGGTTGGAGGAGGCGGGAAGGGTGGCAGGAAAAGCTCCTCACCACTGACCCAACGTGTAAGCCTCAGACTCACTGGTCGGTTCCCCACGGAGGCTTATCGGTGCCTTACGCCCCCACACGGTGGCACGGAGCCACGTAAGCAAACAAGACAGTTCCACATCACGGTTGCCAAGGACCCAGCCTCTTGAAGAGAAACCCTGACAGATACTGGATGCTTTCTTCAGACAGCAACAAGGGCACAAGGTCCTCGGGCTTTGCAGTTCTCAGCCACACCGCAAGGATGGCTGGGGAACAGTGCCCACCCACATGCACTTGCACGGCAATCGCCACCAGTCTCCCCACTGACATTTGTCAGCGCGCACGCGTCCGGGGGCAGGACATAAAAGGTAAAGAGTGTGGCCTAGGCAGCTTACATCACCCCCCTCTGCCTGCTTCCTCCTCTATAAAGTGGTGACAATAATGTTATATACTGTATGGGGTGCTTTGTAAAAATTCAACACGGACATGCAGAGAAAGAGCCTAGGAACGTTCCGGGTACAAAGAAAATGCCGAATTAACTGCTTGCGATCGTCATCCTGATTTTAAGTCATAGTGACTCATTGCTCACACTAGCGTGAGAGATGACAGACGTCATCTTGGAAGTAAACGCCCTTAACCTTACACTTCTGAAAATAAAAATGCACAGAAAGCCACCGAAAATACAACTGTGCGTTCAGCCTGCTCACCAGCGCCTTGTGGGCCTTGTCAAAAGTTCTGGGTTGAAGGTCGACAAGGAAAAGAACGGCAATTCTGGTCAATGGGTATAAAGCGATGACCGCACGATCCGTCTGGGGGAGAGTCCTGATTTTGGCGGGCAAAAATTCACAGCCTCATGCCCGGCACAGCCCCCGAACTACCCACTGGTAAAGGTCCCCTCAGGGCGGCAAACTGGCTTCAAAAGCAAGTGCTCATCAGACCGCGAGACGACGGTGTGAATGTTCCTGGCGGGCATCCAGAGAGGTAAACTGAGAGGCGGGAAAATGGAAAGGTAATCTTGACACCATCAACTTTCTTTCTTTGTCCCTGCAGAGCATCCACAAGTTAGCTGCGCCTGTTCAAAAGCTTTCCTTATGAAACATTTTTTCTTGTATTTTCAATGCCACGTACAACCTATACAGTTTGGTTGGTACTTCCAGTCACTTCTCTTGCCTCAGGACAGGCCAAAGAGGACACGTGCACTTTCTAAGTGACGCAAAGTCAAGCTGGGGTCCAATTTGAACCCCTGATGCTGTAAGTGGCCAAGTATCTATCTGGTTTACTTAAAAAAAAACAAACGAAAACAAGCCTCAAGGGAGAATTAACTAAGAAAAAGCTACATGTAAATTTTAATTAAAAAAAATTTTTTTAACGTTGATTCATTACTGAGAGACAGAGACACGGCGTGAGTAGGGGAGGGGCAGAGAGAGGGAGACACAGAATCTGAAGCGGGCTCCAGGCTCCAAGCTGTCAGCACAGAGCCTGACTCGGGGCTCGAACCCACGAACCGTGAGATCATGACCTGAGCCGAAGTCGGACGCTCAACCGATTGAGCCACCCAGGCGCCCCTACACGTAAATTTTTAAAAGTGAATCATTTTTCCCTGTACTCCTAAACTGAAGGACCCTGAACTGTCTTGAGGAGGCCAGGCTCCCGCTTTCAGAGTGAAAGGCTTAAAAAAGATAAGTTCTATTCCCATATGTGGGAAGTTGGCCATGATAGTTAGATCACGGGTTAAAGTCACCACTTATATAAAAAAAAATGTTAAGGAAGGAAAAGATAAATACGCAGGCATGTATTTTAAGTCAAATTCAAAAACTTCCATAATGAAAAATCCTGGGAACAGATTTTAGTCACGTGCATTGCAGACCCACATCAATTAGGAACAAAGTCGTTGTTATGCATATCCTCCTGCTTCCTTAATTAAAGGAATCAAATATAGCTGCCAAAATCTTAGCATGTGTGGGCTTTGAGAGTGTGCAACATTCTGCAACAGGACAGACACCCATCAGTCAAGTCTGTCACTCAGGCGCATTTTTTTTTTTT